CAGATCAATTGGGCTGATATAGCAGCAAATGATCCGAGATCACCAGTAGCCAGACATATAATTCAGTCTCATGGTAGTAAAACTCAGGGACTCCGCTTCTTTGTCCTTGACCGTGTGCATAGATCAAATTGTGGCGGAGATTGGGATAAATCCTTATTACAGCGAGAATGTAGATGGATACACCTTACCAAATCCCATAAAGAACCAGGCATACAATTACACGATTAGTTTTAGTTTTTTTGTGAATCAAGTCCCATTCTAGCATGTTTATACATCTATACGAGGTCCATAGTGGTGCCATCTGATTGAGGAGATAATATATAACATGCAAAATAATGCATCAATTAGTGTTATTGTATTGATGAGTTTATAGGTTTTTTTTCTATAACAGTGACCCCATGCAGATGGCTCCAGTGGCCCTTTCGTAAATAGTTCCAATGTATTGCATTATAAAAACTAATTATACTTTGAAAGAAATATATTAACTATTATTGTATAATCTGTGGAAAGCAAATAGATATAACTCGTGTTTCCTGAGGGTGAATGGAACACAGAGTAATTACCAGCATGATTGATGTGTCTTATTTTGGATTTAAACCACCTGGCACGAAGTAGCGCAAACTACGCCCCTCTGATAAAGCCCCGGCTGGGGAGAAACGGTTGGTGTCAGGTGATATATATCTCCCACGGGTTTACCAGCTATTCATTCAATGCTTCACTATTTCACACTTATGGAGATGTAACTTGGACAAGATCATTGTTCCCTGGATGCATAGGATAAAGGGAGTCTCTCCTGTTTGTGTGTGTTAACAAAATACGGATTTGCTTTGATTGCTACTACATACTTGTGATACTTGGATCGTTCGTTTACAAATAGAAACAAGGAATCTGTGAATAGTGTTTTACATCAGAAAATTATGTATATCTTGCTGCACTCCTTAGCGGATCTCCTGGAAGATAGTAGATGCATGGGTGCTCGCAGTGACCAAGGAGGCACCGTGAAAACATATGAAAGGGTAAAGGATGTCAAAAGCACACCAAGCTGATACTCAGCAAATGTCCATTTTAATGACAAACATTGCCATTCAATAGCAAGTACTTTCGGGGCCTCGCAGGGTCCCCCTCATCAGGCTCAGAAGCCTGATTACATCCTTTACCATTTCAGTGTTTTACGTCATAAACACCTGCTGTAATGCTTGATCCATAGCGGATTCTGATGCCTTTGGAGGTCCATATATGTTCACTAGATTCATCATGTTTTATGGATAGCCGAGTGTAATAACATCTTTAAATGCTGTTTTAATGTATTTTTTTCATATATCCAATAAATTATATACTTTTTTAGTAAATAGATTTATAGTTGCATGATTGGTATTGTGGTGGGATCTCCTTTAAAGGGGACATGTGGTCATATATTTACCCTGATCTTACCTTTCCCGTAAGATAAGTATGCAGCCAGGAGAGAGACCCACTGAAAGAGTAAATTAATCCCGCCCACACCCTCCCCAGGTTCAGCTTTAGCTAAATTTACACACCCAAAAAAACAGGTGATGGCCAAGCAGCCTATGCTCCTGGTCTGATCTGAATTTCAATATACAACCTAGATATGTCAGCTGGCCCCTACCTTGTCCACCATAATGCTGACAAAACAGGATAGAAAAGAATATTATTAAAAAGAAAATCAACAAATCTTACCAGGTTTCTCGGTTTTTCTCTTTTGCTTCCCTTTCATATTTCTCAAGTGTCCGTTTGTCAACCATACCAGTTAAAAACCTGAATATGAAGGCAGAATTCAGTATAAGACAAATTGCCACACTAAATTGCTATAGCTTGAAAGAATGGACACGTATATTGTATTCAGTTCGTATTAATATAGTTGCTGAAATATTCTATGAAACCAAGCAGCCGTATTCAGTACAAAATGTATACCACATAACCACAATAAATCACTAAAGTAAAAGCCTTGCAGTAAACAGTGAAATACAGCGAACAATGGGCTTTTAGTAGTCTGATTAGGTAGGGTATAGATGGTTAGGATTCTGAATGAATGCAATAGATTCCTAAAGGTTTGTTCAACTTCCTAACAGTTGATGCAGTAAAACCACATTAACGGTTGACCACAGTTAGGAAAAAAATTTAAGGAGCATGTTGGAAAATTTCTCCATCTAATGAAATTCTAACAGTGAATGTGTTTTTTGTTTTGAAAAATCAATTACAAAAATCAAATAAAAATCAAATAAAAAGGGGGGTGCATGCGCGCGGCTGCCTGAAAGGATGTGCTCTGAGGAACCTCCGTACCAGCAGGGGAGAAATCTCCTGTTTTTCCCCTCAACTGGTTGATATTCCGTCTGAGCACCTTCACGGTTTTGTTCCTTAACTCTTTCGATGCCGTTTGAGGTCAGCCATGGTCTTTCACAGTGCTAAGAAATGCAATAAATCATCCACGCGGACCCAGGGAATCGGATATGGACTATGCCTCACAGCCTTTCCCCAATCTCTTGAAGAAGTCCGAGGCTATGCTTCATAAAGCTCTAGATCAGAGAGGTCCCATCGGTTAACAGATCAACTCACAAAGAAGATTCTGGACATAAGCCAACGCACCTCCACCCTCGAATGTTGATGCCATGATCTTACTACAGTGGTTGAAGGCCACATCAGACTTAAAGCGAGATGACGCTTCATTCCCTGCTCAAAGATTACGTTACAACATTCGGTTTCGGGGCTTACTGGAGTATATTACCGTTCTGCAATCTTCTGTCACGGCACTCTTTCTGGAATTGGCCCCAAAGCTCCCAATTAACCAGCTGAAAATGGATCGTGTGCACCATGCCCTGAACCCCCCGGCACTCTGGGTGGTCCTCTGAGGGATGTCATTGTTTGGCTACAGACTAAGGAGAGACTCTTGCAAGCGGCTCGAGTAGGTTTCTTTATCCTTCTAAGGCCATTCGTATCAGTCTGTTGACTTGTCACTGCTCACCATCTCTAAAGGGTCGGGCCTAACGACCTTTCCTACAACTTCTTCAAGATCACGATATCCGCTACCGCTGGGACTTTCCATTCAAGCTTATCTTTACTCACTGCAGCCGTCAGCACATTGTCAATACGCCTGCAGCGAAGGCCTGCATGTTGTCACTGCGGCTCCACAGTCCACGAGGGTCTCCAGATGATTGTCGCTCAATTTTTCCAGGTCAGTCCTTCCCTGCCTCCAGCGTCTCCTAACACTACCTCTGTGCCCCATCGTCCTCGGGTCGCTTTGTAGATGGACCATCACTTTGAGGATCCAGGCTGAGTGGCCTTTCTTTGCCTTTTCTTAGCTACCATTGTTAAATTAGGTTTGCCTCTATTTTTTTCTTGTAACAATGTTGCCTTACTACTGTTTTAATGTGTTACCGGACACCTTTTGCCATTGCCAGCCCCTGAGGGGTGCTGTAGCTACATGGGCCATTGGCCTTATCCTGTGAGGTGTTCCCTGATAACTCAGTTTACGGTTGTCTCCCCGGCTGGGGTACCTTGCTTACCCCCTAGTGACCTCGTTCGCTGGGTGTTAGTGACCATGGGGGGCCGGAGGTCTGGCTCTTTCGGCTGGGCCCCCTTCACTTGTTAGTGGAAACCAATTCTGTGGAAGAATATTGCGGTGATTCGCGAGTCCTTATTTGTATATTTGTTCCTGTCCTTGTTTTACTAGTGTTTTGTTTGTGTGCCCCTTTTCCCTGCTGCTGACTCTCCCCCATTCCTATCCTTTTTTTTCCTGCTTTTGTTTTTCCTTTCACTGCCACTATGCCTTTTATTGTAGCCTCTGTGAATGTCCAGGCATTTCAATTTTTTCAATCTCTCCATGCGGACGTACTCTGTCATCAGGAGACCAGATTTTTCACATGACACCACCCCAAAAATTTTTAATTCTCTGTTCTTCCAACATTATGTGGCTACAGCCTCTACAAGACAACATAGCATTTTTCTATTGCGTTCCAGCGCTCAGCTCATTTTTGGTATAAACGAGAGATTAAAGATCCAGAGGGGCGTTCTCATTTTGGTGGTTTTCTATTATGCCCCAAATTCCGGCCAATTGGGCTTTTTTCGACATCTCCTTAATGTGCTTATGAGGGCTTTTAGATACTTTGTGGTGACAAATTTGGTCACCTACCCACACATTGATAGTCCTTCGAGCACATCCCCCTGTAGAGTTGAATTGTCTTGTTCTAAATCATTTTGTGATCTGTTGGCCCAGTACCACCTGGAGAGAGCTTCATTTCTCTAAATCCGATTTCCCGTTCTTTTCCTCCCCCCACAACTCTCCCTCTCTCGCATGGATCATGTTTTTCTTTTTCACACTGTACTTTCATCTATCCTCGGGACACATATTGTCCCCACTCTCTGGACGGACCCATACTAACTTGCTCACGTTGCATTCTTTTTCGTCTAGGTCCCCAGGAGCGTCTTCTCTCCTCCCCTCCTCCTGGACCTCAGCGCCCTATTGTTGGAACATTTTTATTCGTATTTTTCATTTGTAGTCCTTTGCCTGGCATGGGGTAGCCCAGCAACGGAAGCGTACACACAATCTGCAACATGCAGCCGCCTGATATCCCCAGACGGGGACAGTGTACTTCCAATTGTGCTCCAACAACACTGACTGGTCCCCATGGCAACCCATGACACGGCCACACATACAGTTGCGCTGCCGCCTAATCTCTCTACTCGCTCGTCTGTTCTGGCAGCCTTTTAACCTTTATCTTCTTCCATCTGGCTCCCTGGTGAGTGTCCTTCTACATCTGATTTTGCATATGGTAGTCTGTGTGTATGTACTACTCTATTTCTCCGCACTTCTACATGTCAGTGGTGTATTTTTCATTGTTTTGATTTTTCTATTTGTTTTAATTTCTGGCGGGCTGTGACATCTGGGGGAGGTGCCTAAGCATTATGTAATGATGTGGGGGTATATACAGTATACAAGTTCTTGTATTTCACTCTGTCACTATGTCTGCCCTGATGAAGGAAACCTTCATGGTTCCGAAACGTTGGCTATTAAATACAAGTGACATGTTTCCTCAAAAAAAAGAACATTTGGATTTATTTCATCCCATGAGTGCTGGTGATCCTCATTGCTGGTTTGTTTTTTTTCTCGATATACGCACGGCACCATCCGTGGACATCACTACAAACACAGCCAATGGCTTATCTTATTAGGTTTACCTCTCACGTGTCTGGGATCGAGATAGGGGGATACCATCATAAAATGTGTCCATTTACGGGCGATGTCCTGTTGTGTCTTTCTAAACCATTGATCTCTCTTCCCTTGATCTCTCTCCCTAATCTTTTGCATATTCCTTCGTATTTTGAACGTGTCTCATGCTTACAGGTCAATCAGGCGTAATCGAGAGCCTTTAACGTCTCCTTGCCCCGAAAGAACTCGCTGCCTTGTTGGGCCCCCCATAAAATCCCGCATCTGGGGGTCATGCTCACTGCCTTTTACGATACGTTGTATCAGGACAATTTCCCTTCGCTTTTTAACCAATTGCGTGATCTGCGGTCCTCTTAGCATCATAATATTTTGTGGCTGGGAAGAATATCTGCTGTGAAAATGTCCCTGATATTCAGCTTTGTTTGGTGTCAACTGCGGCCTTTCGTACCAAAGCTTCCTTCTCTTACCTCCGTGAGCATTTTCGTCTCGCTTCAGGGGAGATTTTCCGTCATCTCCAAATCAAGCACTATCTTCACACTCTGCGGCGCCATTTTCCAGACATCTCTACACGAATGGCATTAGGACCTTCACTCCTCGAAGTCATCTCCCTTTCGTACTCCCTCCTCCTAGCTCCTCTACAGTCAGCCTTCCTATGTTGGTCATTGGGAGTCAGGGGTTGTGGCATTGGACAAGAGTTGGTAGCAGATGTCGGCCTCTACCTCTAAGAGTTCCACTTCCGTGTCGGTATTGGAAACCAAACCATGTATTCAGGGAAGCCTATCCTACCTCAACCTAACCACTCAGCCATCACGTTCTCAAACAATTCATCCCCACACAGCAACCTCCTCATGTATCACTTCCCCCCTCCCTTTTAGATTGTAAGCCCTCATGGGCAGGGCCCTCCTTACCATATGGTCTTGAATTGTATTGTAATGTCTTCATTATATTGTAAAGTGCTGCGCAAACTGTTGGCGCTATATGAATCCTGTATAATAATACATTGCTCCTCAGGTGGTGCCTGGTTCCCCAGCAGATCTCTAAGGCTTTTCCCCTTCTTCATGTTTTAGGGGCTGTCACAACGTGGGAACTTTTGCACACATTTGCTGGGATTGCCCGATTGACACCTGCTTTTGGTCTAAGATTTTCACTAGGATACATGTGGTATTTGGTTTTAACCCTTCAAAAGTCATCATATTGCTCTCTTTAATCAGAAACCAAGGGAAGTCACAGTCAATTTAAATTACTGTTGTACATTTTTACTGGAGCTAGAAAGGCGATTGCGAGATCTTGGAAGACGCCCTCCCTAATTTCCCTTAAGCCGTTATTTTGCTATGTCACAGGTTGTTTTATTTTTTTTTAAATCACAGCATCACAGGACAACACCCTGGCTAACTGCTCGACTGTCTGGGATCGATGGATTGCTGTTTTCCCCTGAAGATTTTGATCATGGCACCATGTTGCTTTGATCATTTGTCTCCTGCTCCTGTGGCCATGGAGAAGGTGGGAGAGATGCAGCTTTGTTGTGATTTTCCCACATTTCCTTTTGTGCTGCCCTGTCTGTATTGCTTCCCCATTTTTCCCTTGACTGTTTATATATTTCATGCTGGATGACTTGTTTCTGATGCACTTTATGCAATATTGCATTGTTTTTCAATAGTTTCTCTCCCCAACATGTGTTGGGCTTCCCCTTTTCTTTTGTGTGTATTTAAAAAACAAAAACATTTCCGAAAAGGTTTATTGCACTCAAAAAATTAAAATCAAGCAAAATTGCAAACGGCAATTATCAAGCCTATTACCAAACATTCCGATGGGATTTTTCGTGCAAACGTTCATGCGAAGATCTACCCGTGCATACCCTACATTACTCACAGCCCTATCAAGCTTTTCTCAGGCATGTGACAGGGTGCTATATAATCAAAGTGGCCAAGCCCCTGGAGGCTAAGTAGGGCCTCTAATGACTGAGTGGATATGCAAAGACTAAAGATTACCACAAATATTTTCTGGAAATCGTAGATCTACTTACATTATTTGTCCACCAATGGCTACTCAAAAGCAAAACAGCCCATAAAAGAATTTACACAATTACAGGAAACTTGTATCCATCTGGGCAATTAGAAGTAAATTAAAGTATTTTCCCTGGATGCTTAAATTTCATGCAGCAGAGTCATTGTGAAGGTAAATATGGTAGTGTAAGTAAATTCAAATTGACAACAACCCAGGTTTGACATATAGTAGCTACTTGCAAGAAGGCAGTTTTTAGGATTTTCCTCTGTCCCCACCCCCATTCTCTTACAGTACGTCTAAAGCTTTTTTTTTTTTTAAGTTTTAGATGGCGAAAGAAACAGGAAGCAGGCTGATATATTTTAAACATTCCCTACTGTATTTAAAATGAAAACGTAGTTGGTCTCTCCTGTAAAATATTTTTCTTGGATTAAATTAAAGGGACAAGGCTATTCAAGTAGATTGGGTTATATGCTGCTGTCTTCAGGAGATTGGACACCTGCAAACAGAGCAGTAAGACAGCACAGTATAAAAACTCACACTTCCAGCATGCCTCAGATCAGTTAGCAGCAACAATAGGAGTGCATCATAAGAACAAAGGGGAGGGACCCGTGTCTTGAATAGATTCCAAGGAAAGCATTTTACAGGTAAAGGGAAAATGCCTATTTTTGTAGGGCTTGTTTACACCATCACGTTATGCTAAATGCACAGAATCCATGTGTTTAGCATGCAATTGCACAGCATATCGCCAACTACATGCACTGGGAAAGATAACATAGAAGGAACAAATACAGGATTAGATAGTGGCCTCACTCTAGTCAACATAGTAAACATAGTCAAAGTAGTAAATCAAGCCAATATAGAGAGCATACTAAATGTAGTCAATAAAGTAAATCTAATTGCCCAAGGTGATCCAAGTAGGAATGGACCAACCGTAACAGGTACAATTAAAATTAGTAGTGGGGAGCAAGGAGGGAAACAAACATTTAACCAGTAAATGTACAAAAATTAAATGTTCACCAACGCTAGAAGTCTAGCAAATAAAATAACAGACCTTGAAGTTATGTTACTCGAGGAGGATGACTACGATATAGTAGGAATAGCAGAAACATGGTTAGATGGCACACATGATTGGGCTACTAACATAGAAGGGTACCACCTGTTCAGGAGGGACAGGCTGGCATTATGCACATCCCTGATATCGCGTCAGCTGGTGGGGATGATGTGGAATGGTTATGGCTAGAACTAGATAGAAAGAACCCTAACCGTAAACTTATTGTGGGTGTCTGTTATAAACCTCCAAATATAGGGGAAGAGGAGGAGGAGGCCCACCTACAATCCCAAAACAGAAATAGCGGGGAAACAAGGTAATGTTGTGGTAATGGGAGACTTCAATTACCCAAGCATAAACTGGGCTAATGGAACTTCCCAAATCGGCAAAGGCTGCCCGTTTTCTTAATATGTTGCGAGACAATTTCATGGATCAGATGGTTGCGGTCCCGACTAGGGAAAATGCCATTTTTAGATCACCAATAATACAGAATTAATTGAGGATACTGTAATCGGGGAGACACTGGGCAATAGTGATCACATGGTGATTGCTTTCAATATTGGGTGCAAGGAAGGGAAGGAAGGGTGTTGGGCGGACGAGAAGCTTAAACTTCAGGAAGGCAAACTTTGATAAACTACGCAACATAGTGGGTGAAATCGAATGGGAAAACTTATTTGATAAACTAAACTTTGACCAAAAGTGGGACTGTTTCTAGAACAAATTAAAAAATGCTATTACCAGGTGTATACCGCTGGGTAACAAAAGTAAAAGATCAAAAACAAAGCCAATATGGCTAAATAAAACGGTAAAACAATACATTAAGGAAAAAAAGTAGCATTTAGTAAGTATAAAATGGAGGGGACAGAATTGGCATTCAAAAACTACAAAGAATTTAATAAAAGATGTAAACTGGCAGTGCGGGCAGCTAAAATTGAATGTGAGAAACATATCACCTGAGTTAGTAAAAATAACCCCAAATTTTTTTATCAGTACATAAACAGTAAAAAGGGGAGAAAGGTACAGATAGGCCCAATAAAAGGACATAAATAGGTCGTTATTCACAAACGACAGGGAAAGGGCGGAGGCGTTAAATACTTCCTTCTCGTCGGTATTCACAGAAGAAACAGACGGGTTTAATGTACATGAAAAAAACAAAAAATTTAACAAGGAATACACCTGAGTGGTTGACGGAAAGTGGGATACAACATAGGCTTAAACTACTAAATGCAAATAAAGCATTAGGACCAGATAATCTACATCCCAAAAGGTACTCAAGGTACTGAACTCAAGGTACTGAACAAGGAGATAACGGGACCATTGTTCCTCATTTGTAAGGAATCCGTAATGGCTGGTAGAGTGCCAAGTGACTGGCGAAGGGCTAATGTGGTTCCTATATTCAAAAAAGGGTCAAAATGCCAACCGGGGAACTATAGACCAGTTAGTCTGACATGCATAGTATGTAAACTATTAGAGGGAATTATTAAGGATTACTTAGTGGAATTGGTCAGGGAACAGGGCATAATAACCAACATGCAGCACGGATTTAGGAAGGATCGTTCTTGCCAGACCAACCTGCTGACCTTTTACGAAGAGGTAAGTAGAGATCTGGATGGGGGGGAGGCCGGTGGACGTAGTATATCTGGACTTTTCCAAAGCATTCAATACGGTGCCACATAAACGCTTGTTATACAAGCTAAGAGCTATAGTCATAGATGAATTAGTCTGCACGTGGATAGAAAACTGGCTACAAGAACGTGCACAAAGAGTATCAGTTAATGGCACCTTTTCAAAATGGGAGGAGGTCAGGAGTGGCGTGCCCCAGGGTTCTGTGCTGGGTCCAATGCTTTTTAACCTATTAATGATATCGGGAAGGGAGTGAGTAGCCATGTCTCATTGTTTGCTAATGATACAAAAATCGGGAGGGTAATAGACAAGGATTCAGACATTGCAACATTACAGGAGGACCTTGAGAAAATCAGGGAGTGGGCAACTGTATGGCAGATGAAGTTCAATGTCGATAAATGTAAGGTAATGCACCTTGGAGTTAAAAATAGGCAAATGGACTATTCACTTATGGGTGTGCCACTAGAGAAGTCGGAAACGGAGAAGGATTTGTGGGTCATTATAGACCGCAGACTGAATAGCTTGCAGTGCCAGACTGCTGTAAACAAAGCAGAGTCCTGTCTTGCATTAAGAAGGGAATGTATTGCAGGGACAAGTCTATAATTTTGCCACTTTATAGATCACTGGTTCGGCCACATATGGATTATGCGGTCCAGTTTTGGTCACCAATACTCAGAAAGGATGTCCTTGAGCTAGAAAAAGTCCAGAGGAGGGCAACCAAACTTGTTAAGGGGTTCGAAGACCTGAACTATGAAACAAGTTGTTAAAATTAAATATGTTCTCTTTGGAGGTTAGGAGACTAAGGGGGGACATGGTCTTCATGTATAAACTATTTAAGGTGACCGCAACATTATTAACAAACTTTTTACGGTTAGCTCCATAACAAAGACCAGAGGGTACAACCAAAAATTGGTGGAAAAAAAATTCCAACACACAGGGCGCAAGGGGTTGTTCAGTCAGAGCGGTTAAGGTCTAGAACTCGCTGCCGCAGGAAGTGATCTCAGCTAAGAGTGTGGAATCATTCAAAAAACTCCTGGACGAGTTCCTTGGAGACCATAACATACAGGGGTACAGGTACGCCTAAGAGCAAAATCCCACATGGACTAATACACATGCACATACCTGCTCAAACATAAATGCATACACAATAGGTTGGACTTGATGGACTTATGTCTTTATTCAACCTCAAATACTATGTAACTATGTAACACTGGTGCATGGCATTAGCATTCATTTTAAATGGCACAACATACATCCCAGTGGTGACCTATGAAATTTGCAAGCAACCTTCGGGAGAAATGCTTGGTCTGTTTTTAAAACAACCCCGTCTTCAAAAATTGTTAGAAAGGGATCTCTAATAGAAAGGGCCTGTAATTCACTGACCTTACGTGCCGAGGTAAATCGCTACCATAAATACAGATTTCTGTGTAAACAACCTAATAGGAAGGCCAAAGGATCAAAAGACGCTTTTTCATCAGACCTTGCAGTACTAAGGATAGGTTCCACCTTGGAACAGTACAACAGGTGGTTGGCCTAATCCTACTCAGGGCTTTAAAAAAATCTAGCTACCAGCTGGTCGCGTGCTAAGGTACACTGTAAAAAAAAAAAAACATTGTTCGCCCCCTCCTTAAGGAAATCAAAAATAGCTGGAATACCTGTTAGATTTATTTCTCCAGGAACAAAAGGTTTTTCATACCTTACCATAAATCCTTCTAGTGACTGGCGTCCTACTCAATAACAATGTACTGATAACCTGAGAGGAGAGACCTTTCTAATTAAGATCTCTTCTTCAGATAAACAGTCAGGGAGAACCTGTCCACTTGTGGATGCAGCACTGGACCCTGGAACAGCAAATGAGGGCGGTCTGTTAAAACTAACATAATTGTGAACCAAGCTCTCCTGGGCCAGAATGGTGCTATTAGAATCAGTTCCATGTCTTCCAGTAGAAACGTCTGCAGTACCCTGGGAATCAAATTGAAGGGTGGGAAGGCGTAAAAAAGACGGAAATCACATGGATTTGACAGAGCATCTATTGCCACTGCTTCGTCCAATGGATTCAAAGAAAAGAAGCGATCCAACTCTGTGTTCACTTGGGTTGCAAAAAGATCTACCTGCGGACGACCCCATGTTAGAGCAAGAAAGTTGAGCACTTCCTGGTTCCGGCTCTATTCGTCTTGAAGAAGCTGGCATCGGCTCAGGAAGTCAGCCAAAAAATTCTGAATACATTTCGGATGGATTGCCTTGAGTGAAAACAGATGTCTCTCTGCCCAGAAAAAAATGTCCTTGGCTAGTGTCTGTAGCAGCGGACTCCTAGTCGCACCCAGCTTGTTTAAATAAAACACCATGGTCATATTGTCAGAGAGGTTCAGCAGATGCTGATTCAAGAGACTCTTGAAAGGCCCCTATTGCATTCTGAACTGCTTTCAGCTCCCTCCAGTTTGAAGACATCCTCGATTCTTCTCGAGACCACTTCCTCTGAGCCACCCGACTTTCCAAGTGCCCCCCCAAGAACTTACATCTGTGGTTAGCCTTATGATAGGCTGGACAGACCATTTAAGACCCCCAGAAAGGGACTTCCGGTCTCTCCACCACCAGACTTCTTCTCACAGAATGGGGCAGCAGGACCATAGCATCTAAAATTGTCTAGGGAACAATTGCACTTCAGGAGGAAACGCTGAAGGGCTCACTGATTACATTTTGCCCACCTGACCGCTGACGAGACGTCATCAGCCCTAAGATTGGCATAATCTCCCACAGTGATACTGCTTGATTTGTCTGTAGACCTCTGACCGCTGAACAGAGTTTTAAAATTTTGTCTTCTGGGAGCAAGGTTTTTTTGTTCAACCGTATTTAACACGTAACCCAAAAATGTTGCCAACTGGGAAGGCACCAGATTGGATTGTTGAAAAATTATAATCTAACCAAGACCCTGCAACCATTCTTGGGTGGTCTCCAGGTCCTTCACGCATTGGGCTACCGAATTGTCCGACAGAAGAATGTCGTCCAAGCATGAAATAATGTTGACTCCCCGCAGACTTAATGGAGCCAGAGCTTCCCCTAGAATCTTTGAGAAAATTTGAGGGGATGAAGATAGGCCGAATGGAAGGGCTCTGAACTGATAATGAAAAACCCTCCGTCCAATTCTGACTGCGAGGCGCAGAAACACGTGACAGGACCTAATGAATGGGAATGTGCAGGAAAGCATCCCTCAGGTCAAAGGTTACTAGAAAACAATTCTTCGGCAAAAGGTTCCTGACTTGAAAAAATGTAATCCATTCGGGAACCTTTTGTATCTTATCACCAGATTTAGGAGCTTCAGATTGAGAATCGATCTGTACTTCCCTAAAGACTTCTGCACCACAAAAACATGTGAGTACAGACCCAGGCCTTGCTCCTTCTCTGGTAGCTGTATAATCATTCCCTGATCCACCAGGTCTCCCAAGAGCAGGCAAAGGGCATTTGCTCTGGCTGAACTCCTTGGAAGATCCGTAATCATGAAACGATGAGGAGGGGGAACCATCGCACTCCAACCTGTACCCTTCTTCTATAATGCCCAAGATAAACTGGCTGGATGTTCCCCAATCTTCCTCCCATGAAAGGACAAGAGTCATTGTGGTTTAGGTAACTGGGTGGGAGGATTAGTGAGAATACCCCCTTGCCCCTACCCTTATGTCCTGTCCAGTGCTTCTTAGGTTGCTCTTCTTTATTCTGTATCTTGTTACGGGGACCCTTTAAAAAAAACTGACGAAATGGCTTATTTTTCCTTTCAGGAACAGCTTTTTTCTTATCCGCTGTCCTCTTCAAAATATTATCTAGTTCTGGCCCTAAAAGGTGGTCCCCACTAAAGGGAAGATTACATAAGCGAAATTTAGAAGCTGTATCTCCCTCCCACGCTTTTAATCAAAGCGCTCGTCGGGAGGAGTTCACCAAGGCTGCTGATCTCACCAACATCCTGAAGGAATCGGCAGAAGCATCCACGATAAAGCCAACAGCTTTGAAGAGCATCAGGAGAGATTCTGAAAGCCGTTTTCTAGGCGTACCTGCTAGCAAATTACTCGAGTTGTGATAACCAGAACTCCAGGTTTCTGGCCACACAAGTCGTTCCTAAGGTTGGTTTCAAATTTGTGATTGTAGAATCCCAAGTACTTTTTAGCAAAATCTCTGCCTTCTTGTCCATGGGGTCTTTTAGAACCCCCATGTACTCAAAGCCAAATCGGACTTCCTGGAAATCTTAGACAACGTAGCATCTTTTATCGGTACTTTTATCGGTACTTTATCAGGCTGCAAGGTATGCAGAGAAGTGGCAGGATCCATGTCTAAGGAGCGACTGCGACCCCCGCGTTTTTCACAGTGGACCTGTAATCACGCTGCTAGCACCATGCAAGGCCACTCCCACTTCCCCTACGCCAAAACGAGGCCTGGAACGCAAGATCTCGGCCCCCGAAGTGACGCCGCTCACACCGATAATGACCTACGCAGTCATCAGGTCCGGCCGTGGAGAGAATCCCAGAGCCCTTCAAATGCAGCAATCTTCCGAATTAGACCCCCGCAGGAAGGGCTCAGCCAATAGAGCGACGGCACCCCCGGTACTGGCGCATCCCACACTGAAAAGTCAGGCTGATCCACACAAGGAGGTAAACCTCAGGCAAATATTGCCTGATGGAGGCTTCCTCAGCGTTCCAGTGACACGCTCCCCAGTTTGACTGAGGAAACACAAAGACTGAGGGAATGGAGATGAGACGGGCCTTTCAAAGGCTAGTGGTGACATGATTCCTGTAGCTTGGGGAGGAGATTCCATCTTGTGATGCTGTCCTGGATGACGTTGATGGGAAAAGATATTGTTATCCCTTTAGGTTTACCTTTACAATAGTGGCATTGTTCTACTGATAAAAGCCTGTTTACTGAGCTTAACAGCTCAAGCTCAGATTTGCACAAGTGCCGCAAAAGTGACTAATCAACCCTCTTTTCTGTGTTCGGATGTACATCTGCAGGTTTTATTAACCACCCTAGGACCAAAGCAGTTTTCTTCATTATTCAACCATACGTTAAAATATGAATTATTGGATAGAAAATTACTTTAAACCCCTAAACAATTATATATTTTATGAAAGCCGAGGCCCCGTAGAATAATAAAATGGTAGCTGAATTTGTTTATGATGCACAACATTGATTCTTAGTGCACACAAATAGGGTCATGTTGAGAAAATAGATATCTAACATGTCAAGCTTTAAAGTGACAGAGTTGAATCTTAAAAATGCATTCAAGTACCTTAATTATTAAAGTAGATTTGTGCATCCCTCGGCTGTATATCCTCAAATCATCTCCAAATTGGTGCCGACACTGTCCATTTTTCTGGAGGGTGGCTACTTTTGTTCTCCATGGTCGGCGAGTGCTTTAAAGTAGCCACCGCTCCAAGCACGCTCTAAGCATGGACTATAATCACACTTTTAGTTTACACATTTGTATTGAGATTGTAGTCCATCACAGGGGCAAGCTTGGAGCAGTGGCTACCTCACAACACGCACAGGGACCATAGAGAACAAAGGGAAAGACCCTCCAGAAGGACACACGTCCGCACGAATGTAGATAGGATTTAAGGATCTACAGCTGAGTGATGGACAAATCTGGATTTTTGTTAATAGGGTACTTGAATGCCTTTTTTAAATTTAACTTATGCGTTTAGGGATACTTTAAAACTGCACACACTAGGTCAATAGTGAAAAACTATGGTAATCAAAATTGTCCATAGGTGACACTTTAAAGCCCTTTATTTCTCATCACTTTAGTGTTTACAGTGAATTATGGCCCTAGAATTATTGCGCTCACTAACATACACAGCGATACCTATGCCATGAGTGGTATAACGCTGTTTACATACACGTGTTTTAAATGTTAATATTCTTTGATTAGTCAACTTAATTTTTATTTTACACAAATTTTAATCTAATTTTATTGATATCACAAGGGTGCTTCCGATGTCATTGCACTGGCAGGTGACAGGTTCTCTTTATGGAGACATTACCCCTAATGCCTCCCCTGCCCTCCAATGCAGACAATCAAACACAAGATTATTCTTGATCGTCTGTTTATCCAGCATTTCAGCCAGCCTGACAACTTTAACTCTGATGTCTGGCAGAACACACACAGTACACTACTTAAAAGAACTCCCCCGCTCTAAAATCGACACCAAAGTTATGGCTGCAGTAGCAACCATGATCTTAGTATAACCACTTCAAGATAAGTATGTACATCCTATGGTCCTGAAGTGGTTAATTAGGAAAAATTAAGTTCTTTTTTTTTAAAACGGCTTCTGCTGGGTTCTCTTTAGAAAACTAAATGTTTTGTGATACCAGTGTCATGGCTGCTCACTGCGCGAGACATTTGTAAGAGTAAAAAAGTGAAAGCTGACATACCAACATGTCCAATGAAAACCACATTAACATGTTCTTTTTTGGGGGCGTCTGGAGGTGCAACAACAGTTTTGGGTTTTGTGATCTCCTCTTCCTCTTCGATTTCCTGAGCCACCTCTTCAGTGGACCCTCCATCTCCTAAGAAGCCACCTCCTGGTTCTGCTTCATTTGGTTCATCTTTGTGGTCCCAAGATTCTTCAGGAGACATTTCAGTCTCTCCATTTTCTATCATAAAAATGCAAGGTATAACATTAGACCAGTAAAACCGGGTCAACAGTACAAACATGTCTCTTAAACGTTGTATAGGTTTAAAGTTATTGTAAATCATGCAAACCATGTATGTGCATTTTATGCTCTCTACATTCCATAAAGTGGGTAGAGTTGGACGCATGTCTATATTATATATTGTATTGTACCGTTTTCTCAACATGAAATCATGTATGTATATACCATGCTATTTTTTACTATTCATATTTATACCATCTAATTAAAATTGATATCATGTTCTTGTACTGTATATGAATTTGCCTTTTCAAAGTCTATATTCCATATGATTGGTGATGTGTATGTATGTATATATATATATACATATATATATGTGTATATGTGTATATATATGTGTATATTCTTTGACATAGTTGTTTTAAGTCCCATTGATAATGATTGTGGTCTATGTATGCAATAGAAAGATATATACATAGATATATGGTATATGTGTATAATGGGAACCTGCTTGGTGCAAACTATGAGACTGCATCTAGTCTAATATAACTTCAATTTCATTGTATATACTGTGGATAGCACTAATTATCTGCCATGGGAGGATCCATCCTTTGATATGATCGCTTCCCCAGTGTTTTGCTAAATCCCTTTCCTTCTGTTCGTTTTTGTTTTTGCGCATGGGAGTCGTGGGTGCGTACTGGATGGCCTGCTTGCCGGGCCTCTTGGACCCTTATGGTCCTGGAGGCTCGGGAGATGCGCGCTTGCATCATCATGTGCGCGCGTCTCGGGGCTCTCCCATTTACGCACCGTGCTGCTCGCCGTGGCTCCGCCCCTTTGGGGGCGGGCCTACGGCGTGCAGCATTCATGGATAGCATATAAATGGCCGCCAATGCTGTCATTTCTTATGTGGCACTCGTGAGGAACACACTAAAAGCTGGCTATATTAGGTAACACACTTGATTCGCAGTTGAAGTCCCATTCTTTTATAATGGTATTGGAAACAGGCATTCACTTATTTTTTGGTATTTGGGCACCGTTTGTTATTTGCATTTGCACACTTTTGAGTGGTATCTTGAGTTTCACCCATGTAATTTTTCGTGGGTGTGCATGTTGCTTAGTGTGCACAGTCAAAAGTAATGCTCATTGAGCATTATGCATAGCTACTATACTACCTTGTACACACGTTTATGAGTATTTTGATAATTGAAGTATTAAGTCACAATTTTTTGATTAATTTCACCCGTTTATTATTCAGACAGACATAAATACACATCTTGCATATATTATGCTTCACCAGTATTTACTATCACTACCCATCATTATGAATATTATATAAATCAAACATGCTTTATATCACTACACACAATTTATTCACTTACTATTCTCGTTAAATCATTATTTTATTAATCCCTATTTGTGCCTGTTCAATACAAATCTCCTTTTCTGTTGCCCTCGATTGTTGTTGCTGCTTTGCTCTCCTGACACGATTCCCATGCGTGACTGCTTTTATTCGAATAGAGGGAAAACACACCTGAAAACACTCGGACCCCTCCCTTTCATGTAGTGGTGTCGATTGACGGTCCCTTTGGACTCCTCCATGTAAGCTTTGTTAATATCCATGATACCATAATGTGTGTTTATATATGCTTGTTCTATTTATGAATGCAGTCTCCAATTTGCCTCACATGGGTTCTCTCTTATTTAGGATATATAAATTCCCCTGAAGAGCCCATTAGGGCGAAACATGTCGGGTTTTATCTGAATGAGTCCTCTATTATGTCCTATTTTAAAAACAAATGTTGACTTGATGAAACACTTATACTGCATGTGAATTGGACCAATTATGTTTCAACTTTATTTATTTATTTCCAATTATGTAATAAACGAATTCATATTTTTATACAATTAGAGAGTTTATAGCATTTCTTAAAAGCCCCTCCCCTTTCGGTAATCACATACCTTAAGGTGGAATCTACTCCTTGTATTTTGTTTTAGTCAATCAATTCGGGGTGTGAAATCTTGCTCTCTTTGTTCCTGTTTTTTATTGCTCCAATACACGCCAACTAAAATTTACTTACAGTACAAACATTATGTCAAATGCCACTAAAACTTCTATTACAGCAGCTGTGTGAGATGACTGAGAACTTTTTTTTAAGTTCAGGAGACTATGGAACAGTAGATCGGAAAACACATTAGCTTGAATGTTGAAAAAGTATTTTTGTGCTCGCCGTAAAAATCCTTCTCTCCGTTCATTGAAGGACAGAACAGATTGTAGATCATGTACCCTAGGGTAATATCGCCACCTGCAGGAGGACGCTATGCACAAAACAAACGACAAAGACAGCCTAGGGGCGGCCTCTGCTGGTGGCCATACCCCCCACCTGCTGACAAGTCTCCAGTAAGTAACAAGCAGTTAGGATTATACACCCAAATAAAGAGGGCGAGACATGTGTCCTTCAATTAACGGAGAGAAAAGGATTTTATGGCGAGTAGAAAAATCTCTTCAGTTCCTTGAAGGACACAGGAAACAGATCGTGGATCATGTACCGTGGGACGTCACAAATCAGTAACAGGCAGAGGGATGGACAAAACCAACATACCCAACAGAGACCCCACTAGACTGGGCTTCAACGTTGTTCTTTAGGCTTTTGACGTTGTTCCTTAGGCTTCCTAGCCTGAGGCAGAAAAGTCATCTTACCGCCCCTCAGATCCCTAATGATCTCATCCAGCGTAGCTCCAAACAAGCGATCCCCTGTAGATGGAAGCTCAGTCAGCTCCTTCTTGGAAGCTTGATCAGTCGGCCAGTAGTTAAGCCAAAGCAGTCGGCTTAGCATAACAGCAGATACTGATAGTTTGGACAACAGCGCAGCATACAAAGCTGAATTGCAAACATACTTCAGGCCCTGCACTAACTGTTCTGCCAGCTCAGCATAGGCGGGGAAAAAACCCTTTCTTCGGCGAGGCCTTGGTGCAACATATTTGCCCCTTCCATCAAGGTCTGAGAGACCAAACGCATGAGAGCATCCAAGACGGAATACATAGTCTGCGAAACAACCTCTGCATTCCTGACAGTGGGATCCTGAAAGGAAGGAGAATCTTCCACTTTAAATTACATTAGCCTTGTCCAGGCGCGAGACGGGAGGATCCACCGCTGGAGGAGACGCCCACTTTGTAAAAAAAAAAAAAAAAAGACTCCCTCAAAAGGATAGTGAACAGAGAAACGCTTAGGCACCGAGAAAGACTTAATCAGTTGCTTCCACTCCTTGTACATTAAATCGTCAAAGGAGATGAAAGGGAAGCCCTTAGTGGAGGGCCTACTCTTATGCGTTCCAAACTGAACTGGCAATAGCACGGAAGAACTAGGAGCGTCCTCAATCTTGAGCGTCTTCCTAACTGAATGGATCAGAGCAGAGACCAATTCACGCTCCTAAACCATAAGTGAGGCCACCGACTCATCCTCACTGCCCGAATCCAGCTGGGAAGAATCCCCAGGGTCAGGACGAGTTGACTACAGAAATCTCCCCTTCTTTCGACTCTCCCGAAGGAACAGGAGAAGGATACAGCAAAATTAGTTTCCTAGGAGGCCTCTGCGTCAACACGCGTTCAATGCGAGTCATACAACAGTCCATAGTGGACGAAACACTTCGAAGGACAGCACAGTAATCAAGGTACTGCCCACCCCCCTGAGGACCCTGAGGGGAGCAATGGCGACTGGGAAAGGGGCACAGGCATACAGGCCGCAGTGGGGAAAGGGAAGCACCTGCTGAAGGCTTGTCCCTGCGGTCCATGGCTACCGTCCACAGACTAACCGGCCAAACACACTGAGACCACAGCAGGTACCCCAGCAAAACTCATGGCCCCAGGCAGAGCTGTCCTGAGGTCCCAGCAATGCGTCTTCCAGCACGTGTACTCCAGCAGCCTGGATCAGCAGCAGCAGATCTGCGTCCAGCCGAAGGTTTTCGGCTGCCTCCACGGCGAAAAGGACTACCCCCATCAGCCTGTCGGACCAGAAGTGACGTCACAAGGGAAGGACGCAGCTGCCCTCAACCAAAATGGCGGCCAAAAAAAACTTACAGCCACAGCGTTGCTAGTTCCTGCGCTGCAGATTACCCCCATATCCCCCCCTCCACCAGACCGCAGAGAGGCCAGCGTCACCAGCTCCGACAGCACGCTGCTGGCACATGAGGCCCCCAAGAAGGAAGAAGAGGGCCGCTACATGAGAGAAACACGCGGTCCCCAGCAGTACCGTACACTGATCGGAGCACTCGCCGGTCGCACAGGGGAGACTACAAGGATCCATAAACATCCAGCCTGTCTCCCTGATGACACTTGCTATAAGGTCCAGCGAAAAAAAAGAAAGCCAGACAATTCCAGAGAAAAAATGTGAAGCTCCTTACTCCTGATGCTGGGCAAAAAACTGTAGACTTGTCAGCAGGTGGGGGGGTTGGCCACCAGCAGAGGCCACCACTAGGCTGTGTCTTTTGTTTTGTGCCTAGCATCCTTCTCATGCTGGTGGCAATATTACCCTACAGCACATGATCTACCATCTGTTCCTTGTGTTTTTCAATGAACGAGGAGAAAAATAAAATGCCACATGATTAACGGTTAACTTGAACATACCTCTACACAAATGGATCTGGCTACTGAATCTAAAGGATCGACTAAAGGCAAATATATAAACAAATAATTTAAACTGCCACTGAATGTATTTTACATACAGCTGCCAAAAAGTACCTAAACTGTTTACTGAGCAGCAGTCTTAAGGTGGCCATACACTCTACAACCATCGCAAGACCTTAGTCTTGCAATGGTTGTACAGGGATTAAAAAAACGTACGATCTGCCTATCTTGGACAGGCAGATCGCACTCTCGATCATCGCAAGCCCGCCCCCCCGAGGGGCGGGCTTCCGATGACCGCAATGCTGAACGGGCAGTGTGCGCGTGCGCACAACGGCCCGTTCGGCATTTGTCTTCCGAGCACCGTTCTAACCAGCCGAGAATCG